ACCTGTTCAAGTGCCTCACCACTCTCAGAGTGAAAAATTTCTTCCTACTGTCTAATCTAAGTCTCCCCTTGTCCTGTCACTACATGCCCTTGTAAAAAGTCCCTCCCCAGCTCTCCTGTAGGCCCCCTTTGGGTACTGGAAGGCCACTATAAGGTCTCCCCGGAGCCTTCTCTTCTCCAGGCTGAACAACCCCAACTCTCAGCCTGTTTCAGAGGAGAGGTGCTCCAGCCCTCGGATCGTTTTTGTGGCCCTCCTCTGGACCTTTTCCAACAGGTCCATGTCTTTCCTATGTTGGGGGCTCCAGAGTTGGGTGTAGTACTCCAGGTGGGGTCTCACGAGAGCAGAGTAGAAGAATTTTGATGGGTCAGAACATCCTGGAAATGCCTTAGTAATGAAAGCATGATGGGTTAGTTGCACCTTTTTTGCTTTATAGTCTTTTCATAGAAGACTTGGGTACGTGAATTGAGTCAAATTCCTTCCCTGTTCCAGACCAGTAGGTCCCTGCAGATTGCTCAGATTTTCCGTTTTTTGTTCTTACAGTGCATTACTTCACTTTTTTTTTTTTTCCAAAGATAATCTGAAGCATTTTTGAGTCGGCTTTCTGAGGTATCTGGACTAGACTCTGGATCAAAATGATGATGCTTCACAGAAATAAGTTAAATGTAGTATCTTTAATGTTCTCATTAATCCTTCGTAATATCTCTTGGATTTTTACAGTAGTCTAGGTTGGGGCAAAAAAAAAAAAAAAAAAAGGCTTATTACTTATATATTTCCTGTAACTAGTGGTTGTTGGGAATCTGGTGTAGGATTTTTGTTTGCTTTTTCAGGATAATGCGTTTGGCTAGCATTCAGCCAGTACTGTTGTTCCCCATTTGCAATTTCTCTTGAGTAACTTCCATCTTTCCCCACTTGCGTTGTAGTGGCTATTTGGATAGGGCACAGGACCTGTGGAATGAATCTGATGTTATAAAATGGCGAGTTGGATGGTTAGTTCGCTCTTCGCAACTCCATAAGCATTTGTGCAGGCTCTCTTGTATGAATGCACTCTTCCAGTATCCACAAAGGATAATCTGCACCAGACTGGGTTAGTCACGATACTGGTTCTCTTCTGGCTGTTGTAACCATAGAAAAAACATTTTCCTGACTCTTCATTTTCTTTATTATTGCTGTTCTCAGCAATCTGTTTCCAAGGAGGAGTCTACTCTTTGTGTCCACATCACTGAGTTGCCTTCACTCAAACTAGACGGATCTCATACCTCCTAACAGTATTTTAAGGTCATGTGAGCATACGCTTTTAAGTTGTCTCGAACGTTTAACACAGCTCAAGATAGTGCATCCCTAACTTTGTATCCTAGTTTGTTAAACAAACCCTTTTCTTAAAGGCACACAAGGAAATCTGTTGTGTGTTGACCTAAGCTGTCCTCCCCCCCGTTAATTGCAGGTAGCGGTGGACTAGTTAGTGACTGACATGCTCTCAAGAAGTAAAATTTTAGTCCTATGTGAAGCTTATAGAATAGTTAACATTCTCATGGTCTTAGTTTTCTGCCATTGCTGCATGCTGCTGTAAGACAGTATCTGAAAGTGTCAGATACAAAGCAGTTGGGGTAGTTGACTCTCTGGGAATGAGGAGAATTAATTTACTGTTCATACGAATCTTGGTTACAGTCCTCAAAATGAGTTGGTGTTACAGCTTCTGCTTGATTGTTGGAGAGGTCTGTCAAAAGCAATACTTCTCCAGCAGGAGACATGTAGCATTTCAAAACAAGAAGAGGTGGCCTGTAGTATCGCACCTATCGTGTAGCTGTAGGCGTGTACGTGCCAGAGGAGTTGGCATGTGGAATCACGGTTGCGCAGAGATGATGCAAGGATTCTTTGCAGTATGCTTGGTCTGGCTCTGGAGAGTCTGGTGGTTTTGTTTGTCAGTTATTGACTGATGAAGGTTTCTCTTCTGTTGTGGACCAGGCTGAAAGCATTTTCTTAATGATTGGAAGATTTAATATCTGTAATCCACTGTTTTGACATTTCTCTGAAGTGGTTAAAAAGGTGTCCAAAGGGAGAGTTATTTCTCTTATTCTGAGAAACAGGTTTGTAGTAAGATTAACTGAAGCTGTGGAGTTTAATATAAAGAAAATTATCTTTTTTCTTTTTTTTTTTTTAAAGGAGACGTTTACAGTGTTCCACCTTTCTACTGTAATAAATATTTCTGCTGAGGCTATTACAGGAAGATGTCTTTATTAGATGAAAAACCTGTATGTGGCTTCCAAACTTAGTACAATAATTAAAAGACTAAGTAGGCTTTAGCCATGCCTTCAGTATGCATCAAACATAACAGCAAAGCGTTAATAACAGAATTTACTACTCATGCCTCCTTAGTTTGTGACTGTTAATACTATAGAATCAATTCTCTCTGAGGTCAAGTAATCGCTTTTGCTAGTTGCATTTCTGCTTGTGGCTTACAAGAGAGAGATTCTCACTTTTGCACACTGCCATAAGGATCTTCAGGGGTTCTTGGAGCAGTTTAAATTTTGAGTTTGGAGGCCTGAGCTTTACACAGAATTAGTAGTACTTTTGGGGTCTAGGTTTGCTACCTCTTTGTTTTGATACATTTACAAACAACTCTTAGTGGTTGCTAACTGAATGGTGGTTTTTCTCTTACTTGTTAATTGTTTTCTTTGTAATAAAGATTCCTACATAAGTGAAAAATAACTGTTAAAAGTCAGATTTACAGAAGGAAAAGAACACAGCAGACTAAAACTTGGTGTGCTACAGGGAGAGGTTTGTGTCTTGTGCTTTTTGTCTTCTAGTGCTGCTTTTATGGACAAGGCAGGGGAGTTTTCCGTCTCCTTGCTAACCTCATTAGAATGTAGGGAAAATCAGATTAATGTAAAAGTAACAAAGATTTCACTCAAGCAAGAGGCTGCTTGGCAGATGAGAGTCTAGAATATAATTTTGATGCATGGAGCAGGTGGAGGAAGGTGACGAATGATGCAGTGAGTGGAAACACTTCTAGGAAGTCCCAATGTCTCATTTCAGCTGTGCGTGTGGCTTCCACTTATGATAGTACTGGCAAAGTGATATTAACAGGACTTTCTGTGACCATAGTAAGGAAATAGGCTGTTTGTGATCTGACTTCTTTTGTTCTTTGTAGGTATTGTCTTATTGGGAATGTCAAAAATTACTGTGTGGGAAAAGTTAATATCTGTTAAACGGTTTCAAGTATAGCTTCTGAACAAACTACAAATGGTGATCTGATCTATTTCATAATATGGCAGTATGAAATTTTTTTGGCTGTCCATTAAGAAGCTTTTCTCAGTGGCTGTGAAATGGTAGAAGATCAAGAAGAATTTTCTCAAAAAGATGAATGGAAGAAATTTATTTGGAGAGAGAGTATGTTTTAAATTGTAAATATTCTAAATAATTTTTAAGGAAACGAGAACAAGTAAAGCCAAAAGGATGTGTCTTGCCCAACAGCAGATCTCTAGGGAAGAGTGTAAGAACAGAATAAGCATATACAGGTCTCCAGAATGCTCTCCTGGCCTCCAGCATTTCCACCAGAGGTGTCGTCTTTAATAGCTTTTGATGGTTTTAGGTTTGTTTTTTTTTCTTTTCCTTCTGTGAGTTTGTCAGGCTGCTGTATGAGCCAGTGTGTACTTCTGCAAAGTGGCACAGAATTCCACCACTTCCCTACATGCCATGTGAAGCATCAGCCCTTTCTTCTCTGGTTGTCACCTCACTTCTTTCATTATGACATGTAGGGACTACTGAAAAACAATGGATGCTCTTCAGTTTCTTCATGCCGCTTGTGATTCTGCTGACATCTGTTTTGTCATCTTCTACGTTACATCATTTCCAGACTGAAGAGTCCTGATCCATTTTGTTGCCGTGTAGAAGGAAAGCTATTTTATGGTCATCGTGCTCTTTTGTAACCTGTTTCAGCTCTTCGATAATCCTGTTGGACTTTCGGCACTATGTAAAGTATTTACAGTGTGGATGAGCTGTGGATTTATATAGGGGTTTAATGAAGTTCCCTCTGTAACAGCTACTGTGAATGGTTACAGAATTTGCAGATAAGCAGAGGAAAAAGGGTGTAAGGAAAAGATTTGGAGGTGGGTTGGAGGGGTATCTCTTTCGCTTGGAGGGAATGACATGTTTCTTATTACTGAAAAAAATGTATGTTGGGCTGTTGTGTGTTAACAAGGAGTGATGATCTTTGAGAAATGACAAACACAAGACTTTCTTTGGATAAAGAGCATGGAATCAAGGTGTGATCACATCTTGTCCTCCCACCCCAATCACGAAGTTTTCTGTTGATTTAACTATACAAGGCAAAGGAAGACTTGGCCTGAGTCTGTGAAACCTGATGTGTTAGTGTTATACTGAATGTGCAAAAAAGCATGTGTTCCTGGCACCTCATTGAGTTTAAAAATAGAATAACAACCAAACAAAAGGCATATAGGTAAGGGTTTTGAAAGCTTCATATGGACACAAAGATTTTGAACTGTTTTCCACTTCTATATTTTTCGCTCTTCTGTGCAAAAGTGAACAGTTGCTCTTCAGGGGACTCCAACTTTAGCCTGCCATCTGTTTCACACCAAGCAGACATAGTGTAAAGATACCACGACTAAAGAAACTCGTTTTTTAACCCTAACAGTGGCTGGATTTTGCACCAGCTCTGGTGCAGTGCACATTTGTACGGATAGGACATGCATATTCCAACCACCTGTACTGAAAGTGAAATACTTTCAGAATGATAACATAGAACTGATGAGAGACCAAGGAAGGGATGAGAAAGCATCATCTGGTTAAAAATCACTAAAGATTTATGTAAAAATTTCTCTATATAAAATGTTCTGTATTAACTGCTATGTTTTTTGTAACTTACAGTATTGTGACCTTAATATTTCTTCCCCAAAGCATGAAATACACTTGTTTTATTTGATACAAACTTCTCAGTCTTTTGTGCTTATTCAAATAGAAAATAACTCATTTTCTTTATACAGGTTAAAAAGCAGCTAAATGGAGTCTGAGCAGCTGTTTCATAGAGGCTACTATCGAAACAGTTACAACAGTATAACTAGTGCAAGCAGCGATGAGGAGCTTTTAGATGGAGCAGGTGTAATTATGGACTTTCAGACCTCTGAAGATGACAATCTGTTGGATGGTGATGCATCGATTGGTAAGTTAATGTTAATTGCAGCTGAAAAATTTCTCAGGGTTGTATTTTTGTGGGGTTTTGGTTTGGTTGTGTGTTGTTGTTTTGTTTTTTTTTTAATGAACCAACCCTTTTTCATAACTAATTAATGTTTCTATGGTTAATCTGTCCTTCAGAGGGATGCTTTAAACCTGAAAGGGGCTGAACAGTTTTCTGTATGCTTGCCTAACAGTTACATTGTATGGGGTGACTTCTGATATAAGGCAGATACTAATTTACTTCTGGCAAATGACAAACGTACTGTCAAATAGGGGAAAGATTTTGCAGCTACCTGGTCTTTCTTAGCTGCAGCAGGGTTTTGAAAGTCTCACTGTCTTCAGTATTTCTTTGGGGCAGAAATTAACGATCTCTGAACCATTACTTCTAGAGATAAATCTCTTCTGCTTGATTCAGCTTCAGATCTGTAAAAGTACCCTGGTTTCAGCTAGGAAAGGGTTAATTTTCTTTCTAGTGATTGCTGTGAAAAGAATCTCAATAATACCTATTGGTTTTAGTTGTTGCTAAGTGATATTTACACTATTCAAGGACTTTTTTCAGCTTCTCATAGAAGCATAAGCAAAGACAGAATGGCTGATGAAATATTCCATACTATAGATGTCATGCTCAATATATAAATGGGGGTTAGCCACGGGGTGGGAATCCACAATCACTGCTCCGGGCAGTGCCAATTCACTGGGTGGTGAGTGACCGGTGTCATTACTATTGTTGTTTTTGTTGTTGTTTTTCCTTTTCTGTTATTGTTTTTATTAAACTGCCTGTATGTCAACCCAAGAGGTGGGGTTTTTTCTCCCTTTCCCCCTCCCCACCCCCCTTCTTGTGGGGAGGAAAGCGGGTATATGGTATGAGCGAGCGGCTGCATGGTTCTAGTTGCCGGCTGGGGTTAAACCACAACAAAAAGAGAGGTAAAAAATTTTACAGGTAGAGGTGTTAAAAGCAACAGCACCGTATGAGTTGAAGTTTTGACAGGTGAAAAATTGCAAAGAAAACTTGTTACTGTGAGCACTGATAAAAGCACTGAAGTGATACAAAGAAGAAAGAACTGGGAAACTCTTTCTCTTTTTCTATTTTTTTTTTTTTTAATTATTGTTAACGAAGCAGTTAATGGAGTGAAAGCGTTAACATTGTCTCAGCAGTGGTCAAAGAGGGGAACAGAAGGAGGGAAAGAATGCAGTTTCTGTTTAAGATAGCAAACTTGGTTAAGTATATACTCTTGGCGCTTCTTCTTGTTTAAAATCAAACTCAGCCTTTTGAGTTTTCTTTTTTTATCATCCTTTTCTCCCCCATTAACATTCAGTCAACTTCTGTCCCTGCAGAGTCTTCCTTCATGCAATTTCCTTTTGCCAGACTTAACAATTGGATGTTAGCATTATACTAGATAGTTGTGTCACATCATCGTAAGCATCCTTCTCATCTGTATTCCTTGTATGTAATTAGATATGTTGTGAATGTGCAGTTATTTAACTTGTATACTAACGTAGGTTTTAAGAGCCAGGACCCCTTCAATCCACATAAAAATTCCTTCTGCCAAATTACTTAGAGAACACCAGAATGATGAAGTCAAGCGCTTGATAGTTAGGAAATGATTAAGTGAACAATTGGCTTCTGTGTGTAATACTTTGTTCTGAATATCTGGCACTTCTAATAAAGTGAGTACCTTGCATGTCTAACGTAATATTTGCAACCTGTACTGAAAGTCTGAAGCTACTCGTTATTGTTTACATAAATCCTCTCCATCGCTTTAAGGAGAAATAAGTTTGCAGTAAAATAAATAGTTTCAGAGCCAGTGTTCTGCCTCTTACTTCTTGTGAAATTAGATCTGTAAACTGAGTCCAAACGGATGTGGTGGTTGTTTTGTTTACACTGTCAAAGGCAATGCTAATTGCTACACATGCCAGCAGCCCCTATCTCATTGTAATGGCGAAGTATTAAAATGTGCATTAGAACATAAATATTAATGTATTTTCTTTCCTGGAGTTGAATTTTTTCCTGATGGTGTATCTGCTTGCCACAATTCTGGTCACTTGGTAAGAGACAGCACGGGTAATAAGCACTATTATTTTATTTAAGTGAACGGTGCTTTATGTGTGTCCCTGCATGGAAAATATTTTCTTGCACAGTAAATCATAGTAAATATCTTCGCAGTAGATCAGAATCTGGCGTAAATTTTCTTGTTAAGGTGGTAAGAACGTACTTCCAAAAAAGTTTTAAATAAGCTTACATGCAGGAGGTGAGTACCTGTGTTTCTCATTCCTTAGGTCTCCAAATGTGTAAGGTAGTTTTTCTGGTGTGTTTTTAATTCAGGAAATCACACTGACAAGACTGAGCAAGCACTTCTTGCTGGACTGCATGTGCCCTTTTTGTATTCCTCTAGCATCAACTGTTTTGTTTGTTTGTTTTTATTATTATTATTTAAATACTCTTATCCTTTAATTGTCTTTTAATGTATTTTTGATCTGCTGGGTCTGAGTACAGATGAATTCACCATACAGAATCTGTCCCACCTCCTGAGGAAGGGCAGGACCATCTTGGTAACTGGAAGATCCCGTGCTTCGCAACACTGGAGGGCCTCCAGAGCACAGTTTTGAGTGCAGAGGCATTAGGTCCAACTCTGTGCTTTAGCTGGTGAACCCTGCCAAACGTCAGGAGCCCTGTTTAAACATATAGTTTGTGTTTTAAGTCCGTAGGGCTGGAAGAATTTATGAGCCTGGTTTCTTAGCAACACAGACAAAATGGCAATAACGTATCTGTACTTAAAATGATTGCGGAAATAACGTAGTTAAATTGAAAGCTGCATAGCTGCAGAATATCAGCTTGCGGTACAAATGAGCACAGACGTGAACTTATCCAATCTGGGTAAGTCGCTATGGACAAGAGTATTCATCATAATTTTACAGTTTATGTAATAAAATATAGAATTACAGATTTTAAAAAATCAAGACCATGCAATGAAGAGAAAATGAAGGATTAAGAAATTATCTTTCTTTTTTTTCTTCTTTTTTTTTGACTAATGAAAATTGAACCATAAACTGCACATATATTATGCAGTTACAAATCTAAGAATATGGAATTTCTAAAGTAATTGTAGTCTTTCCCCTTCATTCAGAGGGCAGTAAGTTAATGGAAGAAATCTGCTCATTTTAGTAGGCTTGGTAAGTCCCTTGGCTGTCAGGACAGCAATTCTATAAAGCCAGCACAGTACTGCCATTCACATTACCACTCATACTTAAGCACTTAACTGAGGCTTACAAAGCCATTGAGGCCGTTATTCAGTGGTGAATATGCCTTCTGTTGAAAGCATGTGGAAATTGGATGATATTGGGAAAGAATACTAATGATATATACTACTTGTCTTGTGTGGGAAAATCTGTTATATTACATGAGACTAAACAAGCAAATGTTAACTAGAACCCGCTTTCAGAACGCCTTATCACCTAGACTTTTAAATATCTTTAATACGTAGTTAAAAGAGATTTGCCTTTTTAGTGTCACCTCTGATTTGCAATTTGAATGGTTTTGTGTAGTTCCATATGAGGGATTCGCCATTATGTTAAAAACAATGCTGTACAACAGTCTTGTTTCTCTTGACACCATCTGAAAGCATGTATGTTACCTGTCCTTCACTGTGTCATCTGAGAAGAATATAGAAATTGTGAATATGTGGTATTACATACTAAATACATATATATGTATAGTATTTATATGATAATTATTATTAGAGAGTATATCATACGTGTTCTCCAGTAGCTATTTTCTTTGCATAAATTTCAGACTCTTAGTGGCAGCATCATGGAGAACTAGTAGGTATCATGAAATTGTAAATTCTTTGAGTGTAGTGTATTTTGACATGCTGAATAATTAAATTGCTATGCGTGTGGGGGTTTGGATGGCTTGCACCAAAGCCCTGCCTCAAAGGGATGCTGCCTCTCAGCCTTGGTCAAAACTTGCTTTTGTTGCTTATCAAAAGTAATCTCTTTGTAGTACTGAAGTTAGTGTTTTTCCTTGTAGAACTGCTGCCTAATGAGAAGTACGGTGACATTATACTGATAACAGAGGTATCTGCCTCTTTATAGGGAGGATGTCTTAAAATGCTTGTATGTACAATGTACTTGCATATATGCAATCTCTGGAGATCACTTTCATCATGACTTATCTATGTTTTATTTTTAAACTGTTTGCCCTGCTTCTTGCCAGGTCAATTTGAACATGTTATATTTACCATTGAGAAGCTATCTGTTCTTTAATAGTTAAGTCATATAAGCTAATACTTACTGGTTTAAATTTTTTAGGAGGAGATCTATACTATTTAGTTTTAAAAAAAAAAGTTACACTAGGATAGTTTGTTCTCCATCGCTTTAACATGGGGAAAAAAGAATTCTTTCTAAACAGAAGTGAAATCTCCAGAATTGAAATATATTATCAGATTAATATTTTAACTAAGGAATATGAAGGAGAAAATGAAATGTCTAATCCATTCTTTTTCTCTCAGCAGCAGCTTGCCTCGCCTTTCTCTAAAGTTTGACACACGCATAATTCTTGGCTACTGGCTGGGCTTGAAGAGTGTAACAAGTCTCTTCAAAAGTTCAAACTTTTTCCTTTTATGACTCAGGGTTAGCCAACAACCAAGGTGAAACTGAGAGGTCTCCATAATTTTATTTTGAATTAAGGGCTGTTTATATGATGTAACTGCATCAGTTTTCACTATGTTTTTTATTTAAGTGTAGGGGAGGCTCAGCAGGAGGTGGATTTTTGTGATGTTGTCAGACTGCAATTTTTTCAAGGCACTGAGTGAAATCAGATGATTAAACCTTATTTGCAGTAAAAATGGTTTGCAAACAAATGAGATCATGGTGTTTACATCTCAAGGTACTTTGATCTGTCTGTGGGAGTCTGAGTCCTGAATGAGCCTGGCGTTCTTTTCAATAGCTATAGTGATTCCTGCTTCAGTTGAAGGAGCTTAGTTGCTT